ACTGCAATAGGCATATCCTGCACAGCACACACTCGGGACACGGTCAGATTGCCCCAATTCCACTCATGTCCATATGTCGACTGGCTGGCTGTACATCTGCGGATGTAGATCTGCACTTCAGTGACGCATGTTGTGTCTGAATCTCACCCTTACCCTTTCTGAGCAAAAATACATGCTCTGTAAAGCAAGAGGCACCATGAGGCTCCCAAAAAGCTTATTTGTACATATTCAGAGTAAGTTGTCTAAATTGGGCTTGTTACATGTCAACTTTTGTGCAACTCCATCCAGGATGGCACACCAAGTCAGACCAGTGATAAACAGCTCTGCTATTTGTAAACATGACACATACATTCAGCGATACAGACCAGAAGGAAATATTATTCATTGTGCAACCTGCATGCAGCATAATCACTGTGACCACAGTAACATGATGACTTAATTTATGGTAGAGCTGACACGCTTGCCTTGTTTTGTTGTGTGATCCCATGGTGCTTTATCATCTCGCGTGAACCCTAGGAGAACCAGTCAGTGATTTTTCTAAATCCGGGTGCGTGAAATGCATAGTTTTGAACAGTTTTATACTGACTTGGGCTCTCCACCAGATAGAGAACAAAGTTTCACGTTAAATCAGTGCAGGATCTGTTAGGTGTAATCCCCTGCTGAAAACTTCTACTTCTGAGGATGAGGCCGAAAGCTTTATGAAGGATAACAATAACCTGAAACAGCTTGGCCTAGAAATGTCTAGCCCCCACATCATTTTGTCAGTTACTTTATGCTCTAGAAAGTGGAGCCACCGATTCATCTTACACTGATGGAATAGCCATAACGTGGTTACAGCTATGGCCCTTTGCCTGCAAACGCTGACCAGATGTTTAGCTAAGAGAACAAAGTCCCATGAACTATCCTGCACAAGGAAATTTAATGCCACTCTAAAGGCATGAAGTTCCTTAGCATCCACAGGTACAGACCGAATGGTCTGCTCCTATCCCGCTGTTCAACTGATACAGTTGGAATGTCTGTATCAGCCTATATAATTTTTTCTGGATTGAAAGAAGTACAGAGGAAGTAAACAGTCTGAGTCCTCCTGTAGGTGTCTAAGCAATCTAACCTGCAAACTGGCACATCGCCAGTATCTGAAGATTGTTGTTAGCGGGGAAGGGTGTTCACCTTCTATTAAGTTTTTCATCCTTCCTGCATTACATAGGAGGTTAACAAGTTCCTACACCCAGTCTAAGGCACTGTGAGGAGCTGGGTTCTACATGACAGTATCTCCGGGAGGGAGCAGGACAAGTTTATGTGACAAAGGAAGAAAAGTCAGGTCAGTGAGCCTAAGAAAGTCTGAAAATTTCTCATGTATCTAACTATACCCTGGCAGGCCTGAATAAACTGAGACTTTCCAGGATACCTAATGGGCAACAGACTGCAAGACTTCCATATTTTTTTGGAACTCATGAGAATTACCGAGATACGTACACTAAAATCAAGGCATTTTAAGTAATATGAATTAAGAAATGAGAGGGCAATAAGAATTGAGATAGCTAGTTGATTTTTATGAGATACAACCACTTGCTTAGTTCAGAACTGTAAACAAAGTATGATCTTTGTAAACAGAATGATTTGAAATTTCCCAAGCTATAAACCATCACAGCTATGATTTCATGATGAAAACCTACACCTTAGAATGCTAAACAGCTTTCCATTCTCACTACAAAGAATTATGCGTAATTTCAAGAATTTAGGAGATTGAGACACACTATTATTTCCCTACCACAGGGATTTTTCTCTGTGTGCCATCTTTAATTGTTCAACTTAATAAAAATAAGTCATCTAAATTCAGAGCACATATTTTGCTATTAATATACGAAAGTAATTTTAGTTATATATATAGAAGGCAGAGCCTTGAGGTAAGCAGCCTGCAAGAGTAACACAGACATACAAAGCAAGGGTAAAAAGATTACTCTTACCTCCTGCCTTACAGGTCACACACATTTAGCCTTTTCCATTCCTCACACTGTCGTAACAGTTTTTAGTAACATGCTTACACAACCCAGCCAGTATTAATTTTTTTATATCAAATTGTAACCTCCATGCCCATGACTAACTATCAACATTAATACAGTGGGGCAAACTTCAAGGAAAACATGCATTAACCACATCTGTATGTAACAGTTCTTTTTTTAAATTGGTTTATTCTAGTTTGTATTTTATCTCATTTTAAAACTCCACAGAGCAGGAGCTGTGTCTTCCGTTTCTGGGGTGCTTAGCATAGGACACTGAACATGCATGGGATCTTTGGCTGCAGTTATCATACCAGTATTTATGACTGTTCTCAGTGTGCACCGATGAGCAAGCAAACCAGTAGAGCCTAGAGTAAGGTGTCTCTTTCCTTTTCAGAGAGGCAAAAGAGGGATGGAGCTCCCAGCAGCAGTCATTTTCACCAGACACTCCTTGGAGCTTTGCTGGCTCTAGTACATTAACATCTCCTGCTTTCTCTACTTCTAAGTGAGTAGATTGGCTGCCACTCACAGAGACCAATTACCATTTCAAGAGCAACTTTTTGGCACCAGAGCTGTTTATATGGAAAATGGATTAAAGCTAAAATCCAGCTACCATTATAATTTCAAAACCCAGTAGGACTCTAGACATGTGTTTCACTTGCTTATTACTGCTATAATAAAAAATACGGGGTATTCAACCAGAACATCCATGTTTATTTCAACGTGGATTCATTGTATAATCAACAAATTTTAAGCTAACATCAAATGTCTCATAAAAGATACTGCATTGCCTTTTGAGCCCAGGCTCTTTTCTTTCAAGAAATACAATCAGTCCACATGAAAATAAAGGCTAAGGTTTCAATTATTAATTTCTGCAATATTGATTTTTTAATATGACACTCAGTAGTGTATATGACTTTCTCAATGGAATTCTTATGCAGAAGGCTATGCCCCAGTATCATAAAGATACTAAGTGATATTTACCTGTGAATCGTTCATGCATAAAAATCTATAATTTTGAATGTAACTGCTTAAGCCGTTAAAGTAGCTGTTGAGAACATACCTTTTGTAAAAGCTGTTAAGTTCAGACCTTAATCCGTTGCCACTGACTGTTCAGCAAGCACATTCTACACAGCGTTGTTGAGCTTTTTACAAACAGAACAGATAGAACCGAGTCAAATAATTCCTGATCTGACTGAACAGAAGAATAACCAACAGAAATTAATATACCTGTGATAAGCACACTGGTTGACATGCCCTTTAAAATAGGTACAAGTTGCTTTAATAAAAGAGTAGTGTGCTCAGATCAACTTAATTTTTTTTCCCCTACCATTGACTTAAGTTTTAAAGGTCCTGCCAAAACACTTCAGTATTCATTTTTTAATCATGAAGAGAAAAAGCTAGGATTTTCTGCTAACTAGGTAGATACAACCATCACAACAAAATAACTTTATTTTTACGATTCACTGGTATATATATTTACTGTATAAAAGGTAAAAAAAAAACCCTTACAAGTAAAAATAAAGTCTACATCTGAAACTACATTTTTACCAGCAAGCATGGAAAATAATTATTTATAAATCACGGTGTCCACAGATTTTGCAGTGTTTTGATTACCATCAAGCCCATTAAATAGGAGGAAACACAGGCAAATATCTGCTAAGTGACTTGCCTGAAGTCATGGTGAGTCAGTGGCTGAAATAAGAACACAGTCCTGCTCTCCTGCTTTCCACTCCCTGTGTCCTCATCACTGATTCAGCAAGAATTCAGGCTCCACACCACAGATCTTCACTGGGTACAAGCTACAGTAATTGACAGCAGCTGAGGAGTGCAAGTGAGACGGAGATCCCCGCAGGTGGGTAACTGAAGTTTACGAAGGGCTGTCATTTTGGTATGGCAACATTCACACTACCACGCAGGACATTACAAACCCGATATAACAAGCTGACCAGTAAACTCACTGATCTCGTCTCACAGAAGCTGTAGTCTGGATCACTACTGCCCTTGTTCTTTCCTGTCGACTGTCAACTGTCGCTGAACTACATAGCCCATGACCCGGTCCCCTCTCTCCTCTGGCAGCAGAATAAATCTTTACAGTTAGAATAATATCTATGAGTCTTGTATCAGAACTACAGAACTATCTGAAAAGGCATATTGATAAAAAATAACTTGCAGGGATTATCCTTTTAACTCAAATGATAAAGTATTGCATTTTAAGCAATTACCAATTTTTTTTTTCTTACTCTACCGCTAAGTGTTCTACGGACAACAGTTTAGTTACAGCTATGTTACTATCATATGGCTCCTATCAATTCACATTTATAACACAATGATTTATTTGTAATAAGCAGAAAAATTCTGAATATTTTTTTAATTAAAATTCTGGGTTACAGGAACAACCTACATTTAATAATTCTTTGTGCATCTCAATTAAGTTCAATTAAAGCACATTGCAGCAAAACATTTCAAGTGCGCAAATTCTGATAGTGACTTCTGCAAAAGATTTTATTCTGAAATAAACAAAACCATTACTATTGGGGGGGGATCAATCTCAGTGGAAACCTGTAGAGAAAAAAACTAACAACTGATTTTCAGAAGTGAGAGAAAATAAAAAAACAGTAAAATTATTTGTCTCCATTCCTAAGGGAGACATTTTGTCAGCATCCAAGGAACGTGTTCTTGTTTCACTGTCTGGCTGAAGCAAGTAGATCAGATTTAGTGGATAGAGAACTTCCTGCTGTGAGTTTCAATGTTTTGCTACAGATTCAGGGTAGGAAAGTAGGTCTAGAAACACAGCAATGTCACACAGACACTAAAAAATAAATGGCAAGCTGCAGTGTCTCTTCAGGACAGAGTTCATGTTTCTACATGTAGATTCCATTTTTATATAAAACAAGTCACTAAACTTACCTGCAATGAAACCCATTATGACTGTCTGGATTACTGCCTCCTAAATGTCATCTGCAGATTGTGGTCTGTCAGATATCAGATGATGATACATAAACAGCTGCTTAAAACCCTCTAATGCATAAACATAAGCAACCAAGGAAAGAATGAAATGGGAAAAAAAAATGAAAACAAACATTCAAAGTTAAGCTTAATTTTTATTTGGCAGTAAATAAAAATCACTGTGGCAATATCCTACAAGATAATCACTGGAGTGTAATTTTTTGTTAGGTGGCCATTGGATTACAAGGAGAATTGAAGTATTTGTGTGCTTTTAATATACAGACCATCCAGAGCCATTACTTTTTTTCTTTTACAATTTTTGTCTGCATTGCAGGCAAGACTGCATGGTTATAGAATCAGATCAGAGAATCTCCCATGACGTTGTATATTGATTCAGAAATGAGATTTCAGGTAAATGTAAGGAGCCATTGGCACAGCTGTAACTGCAAGTTTGGGATCACTGCAGTATCTGTGTTTGTTCCTTTATGCAGTGTAAACCACAGAATTGTCTTAAATTAGTATATCAAAAGTTCATATGACAAGCAGAACTTCATCTTAACGAAAAGGTGAAAAGATTTTGCAAGTTTGCAACAATTAAAATGTTTTCTTTCCCTTTTTCTGTTTCTCTGAGGTGCTTTTTAAACGAGTTAAAATAAATTTATGGCAAATGATCAGTATGCTGCATCTGAAGTATTTTCTTTGCATATCAAAAAACCTACCGATTTTTCCTTCTGCAACACTGCAGATGCAAAAAAAAATTATTTTTAGTCATATTTCATGTTGTTATAAATACTTTGGTATACTTCATTACAGACAATAAGTAATATATTAGAAAGAGAACAACATGGGAAAAGTAATGAGTTTTGAAGTCAGTATTTTATTTTGGCACACTTTCTAGGTATTAAATAAGCTTATCATCTTTCTGTGCTACTACTTAATGCTTAAAGATCAAATTATATTTTTGGAAAGCAGTTATGTTCCAGCTTTGATTAGTGTAGCAAATGCTAATACGTATTTTTAAAATGCTTTGTATTGCATATTTCAAAGTATATTAAAATAATTTTTGGAAATGCAAATTTTCACTATTCATTGAGGTAAATAGGAAAAAAGACGCACCAAAAAGACTGAGAGGGATCCTGGGCTAAGGAACAATCCTGAATTCCTTTATTCAGGCAAAAGCATAAGCCACAAACAGGAATTTTGCCACAGAAATGAATTCATAAAACAACTGCCACTTTTCAGATTTCCTTCAAATCAATGCTCACACATCTCGGGGGAAAAAGGCAGCTGTGAATGAGAAGGAGGCAAAAGAACCTTAGCTGTCTGTAACTTAAAGTCCTTACCAACCTCTCCTGTCCTCTAAGAGGTCCACATCTTTTTCCAGTCTAATGCCTTTTCACAGGCAAACATAACCACTGAACAACAATCACATAGGTCCACAAGTTATACGTGTGATTACAGTATAGTGATATCCAAATTTCAGTAAAGTCAGCATAATTTACAGTCAAACTATGCAGGATGTGCAGAGGAAACCAATTCCCCAATCTATTATACAAAACAGTTTGCTGAAAACATGAAGAAATCTTCTCCTGAGAGAAAAATCAGCAAAGTAGAAAAAATAAAATGCACCTTCCTTGAATTTTATTTTGACTCAGCCTCTTCATCCACGAATTCAACTAGCGGAGCGTGTCTGTTGGCCTGGGAACCTTCTTGGAAATTAACCTTTTTTATCACTCCTGCCTTTGGAGCCCTTATGGTGTGCTGCATGGAAACAGATCAATAGTGAACCAGCAGAGTACTTTTTTTTTCTTCCCCTCTCACTCTCCAGTAAATGCTAGTGTTACTCTTTGGTGCAATTAGAACATAACACCCTTAATTACTTCCTCTGACACTTGTATATTTATTTTAAACCTTCTGTTAAAATGTTATCCTAGACCCTCTTCAAGTTTTCTCATCAGTATTTATTTTGGTAAGTATACTAGGGACAAAAATGCTATATAATGTTATATTTTGAAGTATGAACAGCTGAATGTTATTTTACTTCACTAATACTTTTTGTTATTATAATAAATACCAGGCAAAAATAATACAGTTTTAATCCAAAACGTTAATCATATAGCAGATTGTTCCTTTAAGAGGAATCTGCAGATTTTCTAAGGATATTTTTGTTTGCTGGCCAGCAGGTGTCTTTATTTGGCAAAATCCAGATAAAATACAAATGCAGCTACTAGTGACAGTAGTGACATTCCACTCCCCAAATTGGTCTATTTGCACTGTATCAGGTTAGTTTTTCATTAAAGTTTTGTTTCTTGGTAATTTTCTAAATGGGGTTAGTCTAATATCAAAACATTTCGTATCAGATATTAAATCCCACATCCAAGCAAGGATTCATTTAAATAATAATTTCCTTTCTAAATTTTACATTTTATATTTTAATAACACTGCAAAAAAAGATAACAACTCGGATAACGTCAGTCTGAGACACCAGCTGGAAAGGCACAAACATTTAGCATCCAATTACAAATAATTTTGGGTGTAATTTTTTTAGTGCATAGATGTTGTATTTCAGGTAATTTTAGTGTAATTTATGAAAGGACATGATAAGGGAAAGGCAGATTTTCTCAACAACATTAATTTTGCTACCACAAACTGAATTCTAAAATAAACTAATAGGCAAAAACTATAATTCAAGCAATTTGAGCCGTGGTCAAGCGATGTGACAAGATATAATGGCCAAAATACTAGTGTGAATGCCATGTGGACAATTACAAAGAGTGTAGTTTTAGTGTGCTCTTGGTAAAACTTTATGTAAATAGTAATAAAAAGATTATAAACAAAAAAATCCCGGCCATATTTACAAAATCATCATTAGCTAAATTTCTGCATGAAGTAACTGCAGACATTACATATGCTTGTATCACAGACACTGAGCAAGAGATATACCTAGACAGTTTTCTGCTAGAAAAATGAAAGGGTTATTGGTGTCTTGGGAGGAGAGGGAAAGGACTGACAAAGCTAACCAAATGAATGTTAAAACATCTGCAGAATAGCATGGATTATATAATCATAATTTGTTAATAAAATAACAGCAAATATAATCCTCTCAAATCTAGTCACACACACCACTTGTTTTACAGCATATAAAGTGATACTGACATCTGCAAGCTACAATCTGCACCATATTTAAATAATGCAACAAAAAATAATTGAATTATGACCACATTTTTATTTTCTCAGTAATTAAAACCTTTTATATGTCACTCACCTCCATTTTCATAGCTATCATAACCATTAGAGGGTCTCCGATCTGAACCTTATCCCCTGCTTTCACAAACACCTACAATTCAAGAGAAAATTGGCAAAAAAATCACTCATGTCTGTACCATTAAAAATCACCAGCTGGATTTTGACTAGCACAATCCACTGAGTGATTATGGTTTTGCAAAAACAACCTCATAATATCTTTATTATTGTTGAATTGGGTATCTGAGTTCTCTAGATAATACTCAAGGGGAGTCAGAGGCTCTAGAAGGAGGTTCAGTAACAGCTAACAGGATGACCAAGAAGCCATTTATTTATCAAAGAAGAAACACTACAAGAGACAAATGTATAAGCACCCTTTCTGTGCTTAAGAGCTTCTATTTTGAGAGAGTACAGAACCTTTTCCTGGAGCCAGTCACTAAAGTTGTTTTAAAACAAAATCCAGAAAGAAAATTGCAGGAGCCACCTATTTTTCATGCCATGCATCTGGCATCTCATTCTTCTGGTTAGATGAAATGGATCAAACAGCCTTTAACACTTCATGGAACTTGGACTTAGAAAGTAATTAAGATGAAGAAAAAAATTATTTAGGCAGTAGGATTACTTAAATATTCAGATCTTCCAGAGCTCTAGAAAAAGATGACCAGAAGCCTGAAAAACTCCTGGATGGCTGCTGAAAAGTCAGAGTAAACAAGGCTTTTTCCAATTAGGAGAAGCCACACAGCACTGACATTTCTGCCTCTCATTCTTTCCTGGTACAGTACAGAAGCAAGCACCATTTCTGGAAGAGCGAATGTGGACATATATTGGAGAATTAATTTTCTACCCATATTATTATAATTACCTTTTCAACTGTGCCTGTCATGGGTGCTACAGCACCACTTTGCATCCCCACTGAACTTACTGCAGATAAGTACTTGGGAACAGGAAGGCCAATCTGAGCGCTACCTTCCTACAGAAATGAAATCAATGACACAGGAGTTAACAACATAAAACAATACCACTATTCGACATGCAGGGAAAGAACAAATCTGGCTTTAGTCAAAATAGTCAACTGTTCAGGATGGCAGACTACTGGGGCCAGGGCAGCAAAAGCACGGTGGGCACGCTTACTACTTCGCCAATGTCCAAGTCTTTAAAAGCCACAGCTGCTGCTGCTCAGGATTAGCAAAGAAGGAACTACCCATGTGAAAAAGCGGCTCAGCAGGGACCTTTGTCCCAAACCCACACCTTCCCTACTGACGCAGCAATAGGAGAAAATGAGTAAAGGCTGTCTGCACAAGGGGTGGGCAGGTTACTGCAACAAGACACAGACATTGGCATCTTCATTGCCAAGCATTGTCAATATGAGCGTTTCACTATCCACAATAAAATGGATTCAGTGGTAAGTTTATAAAAAATTTGCACAGTCATTCAAAATCCCCTGACTCCTCTCAGACTTGCTACCCAGAGTTTCTCAAAGACTTGTTTTCCCCCCATCCTAAAACTCTTGTGATTTCTTCTAGATCCCCCAGCCCAGACTCCACTCTGATACCACAGGAAAACTGAGCTTTGCCATTCCAGCATGAATTATTTTGTCCTCATCATTGGAGCAGAGAAATTTTCACTGCATTCTGCTGAAAGCTTTAAGGGACTCACAGCTAGAGGTTAATTATTGAAACTAATACATAATAATTTACTTATTCAGATTGCATTTTTATTGAGTTACTTTAGGGCCCTGTAATTTTTTTAAACTACAAGTAAAACATTACCAGCCTAATTATGCAAATGAGGGTAACTCCTCTTTCAAATACCATTATTCATGCCATGCAGATAATGCCATGGTAACTCATAATTCCAACTTTTTAATATTAGCTGAAGTTACCCTTCCTCAGACCAGTATCAATTTCTTTCATATCATTTAAGATTAAAAATTAAATACACTGAAATAAAAATACCAGTTACAAACACTTCCAAATAATTATCAGTTTGAATTGCTGCTGTTCTATGGCAAACTTAGATACTTGACCATTCTAATATTTTGTGTTCTCTCCTCCCAAACCATTATTTGCAACTCTGATTCATCTAATTATATTTTATCTTTCTAAAAATAATTAATTTGCTCACTCACTGACCATAAGCAACTAACTTCTAACTATAGCTATAAATCCAACCAGTATCAAAACACTACGGGCCAACATAAGAATTTGAAATTATTATTCTCTTTCACATTCTCCTGCAACTTCTATTGTTCATTTACATGGATAAAACTCTGAAATTTTATACTTGTGATAATAAAGAAAATAACTTTACCGGAAAGAAGAGATAAATGGTGTTGTCCAAAATGACCAATTTGGACTTACACACTGTTCCATTTACTGAAGACCTCAAGTAAACTGAATCACCTTCATTGAAGATCTCACCAGAAATCAGAAACGTTTTATCTTGAATCTGAAAGTTAAATGTTTTTATAAGGACAACGCCTAACCCTTCATGAACTCTAATATGACAAACCAGAAGTTAGTATTTGTAATATACACTCATAGATTCTTCATAGATAATTATAGAATTTTAAAAAAATAATCTTTTAAAATCTTAGGTATCCTTCATTTTTCAATTAGCAGAATATATTCTGTATCCAATGCAATCATCTCAAGATATTAGCTAATATGCTCTCTGAGGACAATTTTTATCACAAACTATGCAAGAGCACCCAGCAAAATACAAAGGTATACTATTTCTCAGGAAAAACAAAAAAACAGAATATCCTGTTTAGTGATGCTACAGGAGTCCAGTATTTTTAATTTGTCCTAGCATCTTGACTTTCTTCAAACTGAAAAATCCCTACTGTTTACCTCACATCACAAGCTTCCACAGTGTTTTCCAAAAGACAGGTAACTTCCTCACTCTTGGAAGGTTAAAATACAAAAACTACAATGTATTCAAGTAAACCTACAAAGGACCAGAGGAGAGCAGTAATGGAGACAGTGTCAATTAGACACCAAAACTGCAAAAGAAAGACCAAATGGAAAGGTCATTTATTTTTAGGTAACCCCTTCATGTACATCAATGGAAACTGCACCTCTGACACAACTTCAGAATATAAAGACAGTAAGGATATGAACATAAGTGCATTGCATTTAACTAAACTTTTTAGCTGTAAGTCTAACATCATTAAGCAAAGAATCAGAGACTTGCTAGTCTTTCAGGGTGTTATGAATAGAGATAAAATTGCATCCTTGCCTGTATCAGCAATAGTGTGGCCAGCAGGAGTAGGGAAGTGATTGTGCCCCTGTACTCGGCACTGGTGGGGCCGCACCTTGAATCCTGTGTTCAGTTTTGGGCCCCTCACTACAAGAAGGATGTTGAGGTGCTGGAGCGTGTCCAGAGAAGGGCAACGAAGCTGGTGAGGGGGCTGGAGCACAAGTCTTATGGGGAGCGGCTGAGGGAACTGGGGTTGTTTAGTCTGGAGAAGAGGAGGCTGAGGGGAGACCTTATCGCTCTATACAACTACCTGAGAGGGGGTTGTGGTGACGAGGGTGTTGGTCTCTTCTCCCAAGTAACTAGTGATAGGACAAGAGGAAATGGCCACAAGTTGCGCCAGGGGAGGTTTAGACTGGATATTAGGAAAAATTTCTTCACTGAGAGGGTGGTCAGGCATTGGAACAGGCTGCCCAGGGAGGTGGTGGAGTCACCATCTCTGGAAGTGTTCAAAAAATGTGTAGATGTGGCACTTCAGTATATGGTTTATTGGGCATGGTGATGTTGGGTTGACGGTTGGACTTCATGATCTTAAAGGTCTTTTCCAACCTAATGATTCTGTGAAATTCAGTCTTCGTTTATAGTCGCATACTATTTTTCCCCTGAATGAAGACCTTATAACATGCATTGAAAGGATACTGCTGATCTGATACTGATCCCCGAGGAAAAAAATCCTTTGCTTGATCAGTGTCCTGTGCACAGGTGCAAATTAAGGGAACGCCCTGGGCAGCACTGTGAGTACTTGCCAGTTCCATGGCCCAGCAACCTGCTCTAGTTGATTGTCCTCAGGACATGTTTTGTAGCACTCCAGAGGCACGGTCCCAATGAGCTCCCAATTCTGTTTCTCCACCCCTTACCTCCAGTTTCTCTCCATTTCCATCTCCACCCCCATTCTTCCTTGTTCCCTGGGAGTCCACATTCTCCCCAATTGCACTTCCCCTCCCCAAAAGGCCCCACTCTACATTCCTTCCAGCCTCTTATTACTTTTTTCTAACATTACTTACATGAGGTAAGCCTGAAACATAAAAGCTCTCCTGCATTATGTATGTAATCAATACACTCAGAATAACCTGGGTATTACTCAAGGATGTGAGTTATATCAATATACTTACTGGTAGAAATAAGGGTATAAGGGTTTGAGTTACCCAACATGTGATTATACCCATGAAACCACAATAATTTTCTCACTATTTTTGTAGTATGCTCATCTCTATATAGACTAAGCAGTTCATAAATACTGACTTATTCTCATAATTCTCCCTTTCTGAATATTGGAAACAAGAAGCTGAACTAAAGAGAGACTGCATTCTCAAGCATGCAATCATTTTGGGTGCTAAATCTGAGAAAAAACCCATTTTACTCCAGGTGATGCAAGAAGGATATTCAACACTCAGCAAAACACAACCCTCATAAGCCACACAATTAAAAAACTATCACACACACACAAAAAAAATCTATGTTTAAAGCATCTTCAGTTGTATCCTGTAGGATCTCTATAGTGTAGACAGAGAAAGAAACCAGTTCTATCAAGCATCATTCCATTATTTAACCAGATGATTTACTACTCTCGTAATTCTTCACCTCATTTGGTAATCACTTTCTGATTTCCATCTTAAAAATAAAAAGTGTTCTCTTACAGATAATGCTCTAGAAAGCTTTTATTTATCCCACAAGAGATCCATCTCATGCACAGAATAAAACAGGAGTTCTGTGGAAAAAATGTCTTTTTAAATGCAGATTTAAATCTAACTTCCAATGTTTTAGAAAGACATTTAAGGAAGGGAAAAAATAAAAAGCAAGATCTTTAAATACTGGAAAAACAAATGCTTTTCTTAGCCTCATTTTTAGAAGCATTTTAGTAGCATTCCATGCCAATCCAGCATCTACCAAAGATAACTTCAGGCCAAAATAATAGTCTACAACAATGGCTGCAAGCAAACCAAAAATAGAATCCTGTATTGGTAATTACCAAGCAACTTTAGTAACAGTTAATACCAAGAGAAGTCTACAGGAAACTGATTCTTCTTTTAGTTAATGAAATATCTGAAAAAAATGGAGTTGTACCTGCATGTTGTATGACCCTTCTTGATTGTAACTTACAGCTACATCCACAACTGTTCAATAAAACAAAATATTTATATATGAGTAAATTTAATTATAGGATCTAGAGAATAATGACATACAAACAATATTTAGTCTATCTTTTTTTGATAAGAGACACCTACTAATACCAAGAAAAGAACAAGTATTTTCAGATTAGCCTAGTACATAGTACAGATTTCATGCTGAATTTTAGATACCTTGTTTTTCAAAGATGAACACCTGAAGTTATCCTCTGAAATCTATACTAAGTTACCTGTACAGAGAACAGATTTTTGATAGGAAAAAGTACTGAATACTTTCACACCAAAGTGAAATTTAAAAAAGAAAGAAAAAAAAAAATCAATGGCACTCAGCTTTTCTAAGAATCTCAACCTTATTAATTTAAATGATGAACAGTAGTGTCCTTTGAATTTGGTTTTTATCTCAAGATCTAAGTGTGGATTAATCATACAATTCTGAGAATTCCTTGCTTAAATTGCATAAAACTCATACTGCTTCAATTTGCTATTTCTTAGCCTGAATTTTCAAGCACCAGTTGAAATTACTTTATCCATCAAGTATCTTCTCTCCCTCCATACGCTTTTTTATTAACTTACTGTTTTCCCCATCCAGCAGAGACAGTTTTCTAGTATAACATATATTTATCCTTCTACCAGTGCTGGATGCAAATGGCGAGAATTTATCTAAAACACAAAATATACAGATATTTTACTTTCATTCTACTTTGGCAAAACACAACATTTAGAACTTACACTATATATCACTGTCCTACTATTACTACCATCATACTCATCTATTTATATTGCACATAAAAGACTGGGGAACCACTGTAATAGATAGTAACAATCCTTCACTCAAGCTTCAACACTGAATAAACTGAGGCTGTATAACTTACAGAAAACATGACCCCAACAACAGCACTTACTAAAAACGATATTGACTGTTCTCCACAAACACATCCATGAAAAGGACAAGAAAGTATGGGAATTCAGCTGCAACATAGCAGATTCAGATTAACCTTTAAGTGAAAGTTCCAACTGTAAGAGTAGTCAAACATGGCAGCAAATTGCCTGGGAAGATTGAGGGGTTTTCTGTTACATGGTGGTTTTGAGAATGGATCAGATATAGAGCTGTCAGATATTGCCCGATTAATTCATTGTCTCTTCAAGCAAGGGAAATGTATGGGAATCCTTCCATCCCACTCTCCCATGTTTACAGGATAGTTTAAGTGGAAGAGGAAAGAAAATTAACAAGGTTGTTGGCAGCATACAGTAGATTTATACTATATGTTGGTTTTGTTAACAGCAATCACATGCCACACTGGTATAGCCATTAACAGGTCAGAACTCAAGACTGTTCAGCTCCTGCTCATTCCATTAAACCTTACCGCCTCTTCCAATCCTAGCAGAGTCGATTTTACACCTCTAGAGACTTTGAGCCAACTGTTGGAGTAACAGCAACAGATACTAACTGTTTATGCTTGTAAAGAGCAAAGAGTACGCAGTGACATTGTGTATGAATCCCAAGGTCTTTCAGACACTGCCTATCTGAAGTGCTGTGGGAAGTAGTCTGTACATTACAGTAGTGATATATTCAGTATCTGCCCCTTAACAAAAGTGTAGTCTGCTCTGTGCATAAATATCTGACAGATGCCAGAATGCAGAACCCTGAGCAGGCACAAAGTAAGGCAAAAAGGGAGCACACAAATTAAGTAATTGCACATGAGCTCGCAGCACTGCCTCATCCAGTCAGAAGTAAAATACAACAAAAGAATGATCCTTACCATCTGACTGATCTCTAAAAGCATCTGTTAGCATTTTCTCTTTCAGTATGAGTCCTAGAGCTGCCTGACACATAACTTCATGTGGGGTTGCCTTTTTGGTTGGAAACAGTTCATCATGGTGCTGAGGAATGAAATTAGTGTGCACATTTCCAGCCTCAAACTGTGGGTGTCCTGATAGGCTCAGTAAGAAATCAATATTAGTGCTTAATCCTACAATCTGTAAAGAGAAAGAAGCATATTGCCAAACTGAAATGAAGTTATGAATGAATACACAGCTTTCTGCTCAATTTATACATAGATGATAGATGAATCTTTCTTTAGACAGCACCATAAAAACACAAAGTTTATCAATAAAATGTAATTAATTCAACTGCTCTGTTTTAGTACCAATTAAACCATTTCTTTTAAAAGGAAAAAAAAAAAAACACAAACCCAAGAGTAGCTTTCTCAAAAGCACTGTTTTCAAATATGCTACCTTTGTCCACCGCAAAGTCAAAGAAAGTTTCCCAGCAATAGTAATGGGAGGTAATTTCGGGAAAAAAAACTACTGCTTTGGAAAACCATGCTCTGAGTATTTAAAAGAACATTCCAAATATGAAAAGTGCCTCTTAATAAAAATTAGTTGTAATATTTTCAGATATTACATATTATTCAGATAGTATTCCAGTATTCATAGTATTCGGATATTCCAATATTCAGATATTCCAGATCTTTTAACAGTAACAAATGGGAACAGTGATTGTTATAAATTTCCTAGATACTATCCATTTCCTGTAGTGCAAAATACCTAAGCAAACAACATGAAAACAGAACTAATTATTTTAGAGAAATCAGTGAAACTGGTAATTATATTGTGCTGTCCACATTTATTGACAGAACTACTAAGAAAATAATGAAAAAAACCCATGGGAATTCTTACAGTAATCTTCATTTTTAGCTAAAACTATAGTGGGCCAAACATTTTCAGTACCTCAGCCATGTTTATATTGTCAATTTAAAAGTGTAAATTAATTCTGCACAAATAATATTCAGTCACACCTCAAGTCAAACTTTCTCAATTCCGCTTTTGAAAACAGATACAATACTGTAGTTTTTATAAGAGAATAAGGGACCATTTCTTAAAAAGAACTGACAGCATTAAAAATGCTCCATTATTTCTTTACTACATGTATAGTCTGAAGATTTAATTGTTTCTATAAATTAGAAATTAAAAACAAACATCGTCTGACACAAATTCCACCTACAAACTCCTTGAAGTCTGAGAAAGCTCATGGTAGAATTGAAGATGTTGTTGTTTAGCCTTAAGCTTCTACAAAGTCCCAGCTGCATCACCCAACTGAACATACCAGAAACTTAAAAAAAAAAAAAAAAAATCTATGCGTGAAACTGGACTACACACTTATCTCTACTCACTCCACCAATGAAAACAGTTTGCAAATTAGGAAAAAAATACAGCCTCTACAAACAATGAATCTGAAATGGTAGTGGCAATGCAGGCTCCCTCTTAGAAACCACTTTTGGTTTACTGTAGTATTTTGTCCATATTTTGTTAGCTCAAGATGTTCACAAAGTTAGCTCAAGATCTGAAATCACACTAGATTCCTTCTACTTACATTATATTGATGCAAACTGTATCGCAACTTTCTCAGTGCTGCCTGACGATCCTCAGCCCAAACAACTAGCTTTGCAATCATTGGATCATAATGAACAGAAACCTCATCACCTAAAATAGATTAAAGAAATGCTGTAACACTTTCTGAAAGTTGGTAATGCATAGTACGGCACACCATATGGCATTAAACTCTTGACACAATCGATGGCCACATTTCTCTGTCTCCTTGAAGAACACTATCTTTATGTGACCTGGCATTTCAATTCCAAGGACAACTTCAGTATAGACTTATAGGATTGATAAATAGTGATACAAATATAGTCAGCATGATCCACTGGACAGTAATTTGGATACAGGTAAATAAAGAGGTAAAGAAAATATAAAATGATTGACCAAAATAACATGGACAATCACAAGGAAGAACAATTCTGTAGAGATTTGTCTTTATAACAACACCCTGTGAGACAAACTTATTTAGGCCAGAGGGAAATGCTTACAAAGAAAAGCTTTTGATGATAAATATTTCTGATTACACCACGGCTTTCAGTTTTACCTTGTCTGACTCCAGTTTCTATCCTGGTGAAACTATCAGGTGGTGGAGTGGATAAGTGCAACAATGGCCCAGCCCCTGGCATAAAGTTATTATTAGGGTCCTCAGCATATATTCTAGCTTCAAATGCATGGCCTTGGAGCACAATCTCTTCCTGCATTAGGGGAATCTTCTCTCCTGCTGCAACCTGAAAACAATAATTTTTTTTCTTTAATGCGGGATCAATATTCTGGACTGCCAGTGTATGAAATACTAAATATCTTTCTTCTAAACATGAATAACTAGAAACCACGTTAAAAAAAAGCTCAAGGAGAAAAAAGGGGTAGGTCATAAAAGGCTAATTCTGAAGTTACTCCTTCCTTTTCTCTGGGAGTCACCAAAGAATTTTGAATTATTGAGTAAACTGATCTCCTAGTATTTCACACAGCTAAAACGTAATGGAAAAACAGTCTAAATTTTTTCTACTGATAATGTCAAAAATAATTAAATGTTTAAGTTAAAGCTTTGTCAACTAAGACAAGATTTTAACTAGAGAAAGATTGCTCCAAAAGCAGATGATAGTACTGGGAGCCAGCACTACAGACATACGCTGTTGATTCTTTGTATACTGTGGGACCTGTAAAATTTAGGGTATGTTCCTCTACGGGGATTTCTAACAATTTAAGAACCTTTAATGGAGAAGGAAACACTGTTTTATTACTCAAAGGAATTCACATTACAAATACAGGAATACCAAACACCAGCAACACACCAGTCTGAGACTGAAAAAACGGGGCTTTTTGGGACAAAATAGCAACAAGAAGCCTGCTGCAGTTAAGCACAGAGAAGAACCTTTACCAGGAAACTCTAAAATTTCCATCTACATGGGAAAATACAAGTTTCTATTAAAACATTTGTAGCAACATTTCATCTTCTTTTGAAGCGTCAGGGGTTTTCCATACTCTGCCTTCTGACACCGAACTATGGATTTCAGCAGAGACAGCAAAATGTAACTTAAGTTTTCAAAGAAAGAGTAGTACTATACAGGTTCTCAAAAATAATCTCTCCAAGAACTGATAGACATTTCTTATCTATTGACTCATTAAGCCACATGCCAAGACTGAACCCTTCCATCTTATCTCTTTCTTCCAGTATTGTTTGATCCCTGCTCCAACTCAGCTCTCAATGCTCGATTTCCATTCCCAGATCAGGAAGCCAAAAGTTCTTCCTTTGTGCATCAGCATTTGCCCTTTTAGTTTTCTTTCTGGTTACATAAAACACTCCCCCACCCTATCTACTTAAGCTCAATCTGTGCTGCTGTCCTCACTTTTGAATTTATCTGAACAGAATTGTTTTTAATTTCCAGTTCCCCACGGTCCAAAACTTCCTGTTATCATTTGAACATGTGAGTAATCTCTCTGCAAATTGGGTGTGTGAGGAAATAGCCTGTTCCAAATCCACACAACTATACATTTATTCTAGAATGTGACTATACAGGTATAACACCAGACACATTTTTGTGAAGAGTTTTCCTCCTGTAGCCTGATCCAAGAATGATTTTTTTGGGGCCAGAGATACATTTGAATTAAAGTTTAAAAAAATTTTCAGCATGGCAAGGGAAAGATCAAGACCCTACTCCTCACACTTTCCACATCCTCTATAGCCTCTCTAAATATACTTTAAAAAATGTTTTTTCCTACACAACTGGAAAATGACTTTGTTGGAATTCAGAGCATCTACACAATGCTCTGCAATCAAATACAGTAGTAAGATCCTTCAGAGTAAAGGAAACTACCCAATTAGCTGAATAGGAAATGAGGCTCTGAAAACATATCTGATCTCTCATAGTCAGTATCAAAGAGCACTATTTACCAGACAAGAGGAACTCTACATGTAAAAATCAATTAACACTTACCCTAAGCTGCCATTCCACCAAGTCTGTTCCAGTGATCATCTCTGTAACTGGGTGCTCTACTTGCAGTCTGGTATTCATCTCCATGAAGTAAAAATTATGTTGGGAGTCCATAATAAATTCCACTGTTCCTGAAGTATTTAACAAAAAGGCACTTTGCCAAAACAAGACTTTTTCAGAATGCACACCTAAGACATTTAATTGATTTATGCCAGGACAAGACTATTATTTCTAAACAAGATACACTGAATTTCATTAAAGTCTATACAAATTATCTTAAAAGGTCACACAATTGAGGTCTGAAAACATAAGGATTGTTTCCTTGCACATTTACATATCCTGTGCTGTTTAGTAGCCATTATCCTCTACAGCAAGAGCTGCATTTCATTAGACCTGTAAAAATTGCATGAAGACTCTTTAAAGTATTGTGTATATGTACAGGTCATGTAATTATTTTTTAAAGTAAGTATCCCAAGGAAGCAGTGAGAAAAGAAAAGCCACAAATAATTTTAGCAGGTTATTTTTCACCTGGGAAATAGCATGGACTTAACAGACAGTGAGTTGTGGCCAATTTCTTTTAAGGCTTTACTGTTTGATTATAAAGTATTATTCTTTGTATGCTGAAAGAGAAATTATTTTTCCCTTGCTCTGCTCAAACTTACTAACATTCATAATGCTTACTTTCCAACAACAATCTAGTTGATCATCTGCTCTGAAATTTTTTCTTTCTGCTCTTCACCTGCCACTAGCCTTGTGCTCAGACCAGGTATGCTAGTTTAAATTTGTAATTACACCAGAATTAACGATGTGATTACTTGCTTAAACCTCAAAAAAATTGGAGGACGTGTGTCATACTCAAACAATCAGATGCCATTTGCCTTGAGGGTTAAAGTCTTATTAAGTTAAAAGCATACCTCTGGAGCAGCATACCTCCACAGACTTACCTGCTCCCACATAATTCACTGCTTTAGCTGCTTTGACAGCCGCTTCTCCAAGTCTCTTTCGAACTTCAGGATTAATTCCTGGCTGTAAATAATAATACAAAAGATTATCAATTACTGTGAAATTTGGTGATATTAAACCTACCATACATTAATATTTTGCAGTATTTAGCAACTGTAGTGAAATCCTTAATCAGTATTATACTTGAAATCTACAAAAGTTTTCCCTGATCCTAAAGCAAGTAATTTTTTCAATTAGAACATTTTCTGAATCAAAATTAAAACAAGTACTGAGAACTACAAATAAATCACCACCCGCTAAATCAATCTGATGGGGGTTAGTAATTACTTTAAAAATATGTCCGTTCATAAAAATGCAAGAACTTTCTGCTCACCCCTGGTGCCTCTTCAATGATCTTCTGATGTCTTCTCTGCACACTGCAGTCTCTTTCAAACAAATAGACTGCATTGCCATGCTGGTCACCAAATACTTGGACTTCAACATGCCTGTTTAATAATAATACATGTTTCAACGTATTTCAGTAAAGTCCCAACCCTGCGACTGGCTTCACCCAAACAGACTTTGACCTTGTACACAGTCCTATACACTTCAGTAGGACTTATAGATTTAAGTGTCTGCCCTCAACTAGCCAAAATGTAGAAATGAGGCTGCTATTATGCAGGATTTCAACTGTTTTAGACTTCCTCAATCTCCTTAATCAAATAGGATTCTAAATGCTAGCTACTGCAGTGAAACCTCACAGGCCATAGCATAAACAGGATACATATCTAAGGCTGCTACCTCTTTATTAGTTATTTCATTATAATAAAAGCAAAACCACTATTATTTGATAATGATGATTTCCTTCATAATTTACTGTGTAGCAATTCACAAGAGGCAGCAGCCCTGGCTCAAGAATAACATTATTTCAACACACTATTTCAGAGGACAGCTATTAGGTGGCAGAACTTCATTCTATGTATAAAACTAAGAAAAATCTGTCACTATTCCGATAATCCTCTGATATTGGCAAAAGAAATTCCCCAGGATTTTTTGTCATGCCGTCTGACAGCATAAGGAGGTCCTCAGTCTCTTTAGAACAAATGCTTTCTTTATAGTGATGCTTCAAGAAACACAGATGTAAAGTACAAGAGTATCAAACAGGCCTCTGTGAGAAGCTCTTTATAAAAAATAAGTTAGCTCAGCTTCCCAGGTCAGGCATGAGCTAAAGACTATCACTTCTGTTTTAAATATCAAAATAGAGAAAGATTAAGGAACTAGTTTAAGACACCTGAGGGCAGCAGAAACACCATGACAGCTTGACTCAGGTCTCTAGTTTAAGTCTTATAAAGTGATTTTTTTGTTCTAGATGTAAATCAAGTTTAGAAAGCTCACTCAAGGAGGAATATCAATGTCTTTAGATGTCACTGCCATGCCTCCCAAACAGTGGTATTTTAATTCTTATCACTCAAAACAAAGTCACTACAAGAAATTCAATACATTATAAACAATTTTGACTAAATAAACACCTGCCATAGTGCAAATAAAACATGCAAGGCCAATTTTCATCCTAAAGCAGTTATGTTTAACAGTAGAATAAACATCACAGTGTTTATATGAAAACATCTGTTTCTCACCTTGGATTATCTACAAATTTCTCAATCAGCATTGCATCATCATTAAAAGACTTCTTTGCTTCTCTCCTAGCTGATTCTAGTTGGTCCAGAAACTCCTTTTCTGAATGAGCAATTCTCATGCCCTAAAATAAAAGATGCAGATCTAAATGTCTAAAAATACTTGTTGCACACGAACAGGTACATGACTAAAACAGCAAATGAGCTTACCAACAACACTTTTCCCTTTTTTCTTAAACTTTAGCAAAATTGTGTATCAACTTCCAATAAGATAAGTCTACCAAGTCCCACTGAAAGTGCCATTAGAAGTATAAAAAATAGGTACTATCATTCGATTGATATGGATGAGTACAAAATTCAATTTTATTCTTAAATATCACAGAATTTTTCCATGACAGTCAGAGAAAAACTGATTTCATTAAAAAATAAATATAGCCATTTTGGAAATAACTAGAATGCTCTTTCATGTGATTTTTATATAAATTTATTTCAGAGTAAAATCAGATTTAGACAGGGATTTCACCATACATTAAAATGTATCTACACACTACCATACTTAAATGGTATTTCTAATCACTTCTTATGCAACATTAAAAACTGTTAGCTAAAAAAGTCACAGAAGCTATCACAAAATAACAATTTAAAGTCATCTAATTTCACACAAACAAATCCACAGGACAATTTTTCTGCTTATATGAATTGCTGGAGATCCACTGAAATAAACAAAACTCTTCCAATTTATACCAGCTACTTATCTTGTGCCTGGCTGCACAACAAATGGAAAGGAGGCTTCATAGTGCTGGACTGGACATTAACAACAAATTTTAAGCAAAAGTTGTTTTCCAGTTTATCTGTCTTCAGAGATTTCTTTTAGCATATTCAGTTACAGAAACCAAGACATCACAACTTTACACCATGTGATAAACAGATTAGTTCCTTTACCTTTCCCCCACCTCCACGAACAGCTTTAATCATCACTGGATACCCTATTCTCTTGGCATGTTTCTTTAGACACTCATCTGATTGATCTTCTCCATGATAACCTTCAACAACAGGAACGCCAGCAGCAGACATTATAGCTTTGGAAGTGCTTTGACAGAATAGTTTTATGTTTAGAATGATAATAATATTTTTTCTTTCTTTACGCTCCAAACCTGCATATGTTCCCAATGTTAAGTCTCCTCACAAAAGTAGTTTCACTGATCTCAATGGGACTATTTACATAAGCGGGTTACATATGACTCGACTGGAATTAATCAGATGTTTCAAATAGGGATTTTTTTTCCTCCAAGCCCTCCAGATTAAAGTGGTAGTCTGTTTCAGGTTTACTCTTCTTTCCTATATTTTGACCCACATTATGGAGGCTAAAACCTAACATTTTCAAATTACAACACTGTATCCTGCCAAAACTATCTTTAAAGTTGTACAAAGGCACAACTCTTTTCATGATACAGGCTGGATTCACACCACACATAAAACACTCGAGCGTAACAACTATAAAATATGCATGCAAAGCTAGTTAAATTACAGAGGTAATTTACTCTCACTTTAGGAAGAGATAAAAAATTAATTCTCTGGAATTAATATTACACAGTTCATGTGTTAGTAATAACCTTATTTCCATATTCTTGATTTATACTTCACACCCTGGAAACACTTCTTTGATCTAAGTAACTAAGAATAAGATCCTCTGTGATGAACAAAACTTATCACCCCATTTTACGAGCCACTATAACCCCTGATGACACAGTGTTTCTTTTCCGCCGTTCTTTTGACCGATATAGAAGACATCCGATTTGACTGCTGAACACTTGCCTATGTAACACTGCAATACCCCAATTCTGGAAAACTAGAATCAGTTAGGTATTTAATTACTAAAATTAAAAATTTAAAATTTCTAATATAAAATTCCTAATAACTGAACAATCTTGACTGTTTCTATGCCTACAGTAATCCCACATCTATAAACCTGGAGTTTATTCCTTTGAAGGAAGCCATAAAAATAAAAGACAATTAAAATTGACAGAATAAAACAATTACGGAGCAACTGGTCACTTGTTAACAAAATTAGCTTTGTCAAAGTGTAAATTGCATAACCAAGTAACAAATCAGAAATAGATACCTCTTAATACCCATATCTCTGATAGCAGATGAAGGTGGACCTATGAAGATGATTCCCTCCTGCTTGCACAACTCTGCAAACTCCGTGTTTTCTGAGAGGAAACCATAACCTGGATGAATAGCCTAAAATAGAATAAACATTACCAGCCTCTGTTTGTGTCAGTTTAGCTTAAAAAACCCTGAAACTTCAGTAGAGTGGTAAGGAAACACAAGAGGGAAACACCATCGGTAAAAATAAAGAACTAAAGAGCATGGAAGTAACAGAGATTTAAGGTCATGATCTACTTACCTGTGCTGCTGAGACCTTGGCCACCTGCATTATTTTCTCCATGGCCAAATAACTCTGCTGTGAGGGTGCTGGACCAATGCAATATGCTTCATCTGCCTATTACAGAAAAAATACATGTAACACAGACTGTTTATTAGGCAATAAAAAGCAAATTTAACTGAATTTCTGAGCTAATTACATTATGAGACTGCTAGCATGCAACAGTTTACATCACTGCCTCTCTTCATGGAGCAGCTCAACTGGGTGAAACAAATTCCAACTTTCTTCCTAAAATCAGAGTCCATTCTCTAACCCCACACGGCTGGAGTTAGAGCGCCCAACTTTAATGCACTTCCTGTAGAGTTGTCAGGTGCCAAGACAAAGACTAGGCAAACTTCATTGATTCAAGGAAAACTTGGAAGTAACTCTACAGAGGTGAAAATCGACTGCATTAGCACACACATCTAATTTTACATTTAACTTATTAATAGGAAATATTGTTGTGAATGAACATCAATCACAAACTTAATGAATATACTTCACCATTGCTACATGCATGGAATTTCTGTCTGCTTCACTATAAACTGCTACAGACTTCACACCCATTTTCTTTGCTGTTCGCATCACTCGGCATGCAATTTCTCCTCGGTTTGCGATAAGAATCTTCCCTATGTTGTGACCTCCTGTTTAAAAGAATGAAGCACCGTAAGCAATTTAAAAAAAAAAAAATCCTGAAAAACACTCCTAGAAATAAAGCTATTTTAAAATTCAGATTTCTTTCTTATGATTTATAGTGTTTATGCACTTCTTCCAATAATGAAAAAACACATGCTTCACCCAAAAGCATTCCCACGCTAATCTTGGAAGTTTTTCCTTAGAGTCCTTATGCAGTCTTTTTTCTTTTTAGAATCCAAAAATTATATTCTAATCCTAAAACAACACTTAAAACATAGAAGTTGATGTTTATATTTTTACTGTGTACTCTCTGGACCAACTAGGAAACAATCAACACCTGTGTCTGCCCCCCCCATAGAAGTGAATCCCATTTCTTCGAAGATCACTGTTACCCCTTGATACACAGTCACAAAGAAAAAACAAGGTATGAAGTTTGTTGTTTGTTTTTAAACAGTGACTTACAAGCTTCTATTAAGTTTCATGACAGCAGTTACAACGTGATAAAAATACTAGCACAGCCAGAGACCTCACAGGCAGAACTAAATAGCTTAAAACTAACTAATGAAATGGAAATAGATCTCTGAATTCTAAAACGTACCTTTTTAGACAGCATGAAAACAGGGTCAGTTTAAATCATCTTGCTAAATGATTTTTAGATTCCTTCATATTTTGTTTGAATACCATAATGCATAAAAACAATTGTCATAGACTTTGCAACATTTATATCAGAAAAGGACTCAGAGGAAAACATCGCAAAAATAAGTAGTTTTTTTTAAGTTGAGTATACCTAGATATGACAGCTACAATTGTTCAAAATGTTGTTTACACATTAAAGGTGATTTCTGTTCGGTCAGCTAGAGACTACTGTTTTCAAAAACTATACAAATATTGAATATTTATTTAAAATACCCTACAGTTTTTCAGCAACTAATAGTCTAAAAGTAATTGTAAAACCACCCACATTACACAAGCAATTAAACCTAGTAGCTAAAGTTAAATTTCATACCTATCGTTGAGGCCCATTTCACAAATCTTTGCACTTGGTTCCATTGCCTGCACAATTATAAACGCACACAAGTGTTACACAAGTATATGAAGAAGTAGCAACTAAGCTACGTTTATTTTCAGGTGAGAGGACAGCACTAAAACAGCTCTGAAGCTTTTGATACAACTACTTACACAAAACATATTCAAGTACAAGGAAGGTTGTACAAACTTCACCAGATCTCTCCTTAAAGTGTCTTCATTTAGACACAACAGAAATTATCTCCTTGCTTTTTTAGCAGCAAATTGAAATAGTCAACTTTAATTTAAAAAAAAAAAAAGACCCAACTCTCTTAGTGGACAGAACAGTCAACATCTGGCATTTATTACAGAGAACGCAATTACTTCGAGTATTTGGGAAAGAAGATATGAACAACCACAAAACAGAAAAGCTTAAAAAGGAAACTGGAGTTGTGTATAATGAGAAAAGGTGCAAGAGAAAAGAATGAGAAAGATCACACGAAAGAAGAGCTATGCAGAATTTCAGAAATAAAAAGTTAAACCTACAAAGACTAATATTAAAGAAATGAGATAGCAGAGGCTGGAAGAAACTGTAAAAGTGAACCCTTGGGACTGTTTTAATTAACATACAAATCAGCTTTGGAATCTTGGATCAAGTCCAGCAACACTTAAACGCTATCAGACAAAAAGACACACGGCGTCCTTGAGACCATACAACCAAACGCTCAGTTTCAGTAGCGAGAGAGGAAATTAGTGCATTTTCTAAACTTCTAACAAGCAGCTGTCATGGTCACTAACTCCTCCTGCACAGGATGACAGACGGCGGACCGGTGGCTGCAGCGGGTAGGCAGCGGCCGTTATCAAACGCCGCGCACCCAAGATCGTTTCACGGCATCGGTACCAACTGCTAAAACTACGCTTGAAACCCTGGGTGGGTTTTTTCGCTCGCTCTTTCCACGGAGGAGTCCGGGTACCTGCATCCCGCCCACACACACGCGCCACCCTCGGCACCGAGCACCGGGGCCGTGCGGCGGCCCAGCTCCCTCGCTCC